AGGGGCCTTCCGACTCTAGCACTTTGTGATTTTTTTAATACAGATCGTTTGCTGGCCATCCTGATCATGCAAGTCTTCTCATTCTCCATCATCTATCACTCACTGATACAACACTCTCATCGGTTAATAGCTGCCTCCCGTCTTTATATATAAACATGCAGCCATGGAGGGGATGACAGCCTATCCACAGGATACCCAGGAGGGAGTAGACAGTCAGGAAGAGAAAGGGAGTAAAAGCCAGAAGCAAGTTGTTTGTGGGCCCTGGCTCTTCCTTGCCATTGTTCAGACAAGCCCAATCGTGACTCAGAATAATGGAACCAGTCACTGGCCTCTCAACTCATCAGTGCACATCTGCTGATCTTCTTGTGCTCAGGGCTCAATGATCAGTGTGTGGGCAACAGTAAGGTGTTTAAGAGGAGGGGCTGACCCCCAGGTAATTTACAAACAAGAGCAGAATACAAGTGGCCGGGCGCAATGGCTCACACCATAATCCCAGCACTTCGGGAGACCAAGGTGGGCAGATCACCTGAGATCAGGAGTTCGAGACAAGCCTGGCCAACGTGGTGAAACCCTATCTCTACTAAAAATACACAAATTAGCCGGGCACGGTGGTATGTGTCTGTAGTCCCAGCTATTCACGAGGCTGGGGTAGGACAATTGCTTGAACCTGGGAGCAGGAGGTTGCAGTGAGCTGAGACCACACCACTACACTCCAGCCTGGGCAACAGAGCAAGACTCTGTCTAAAAAAAAAAAAAGAGAGAGAGAGAGACAGAGAGAGAGTAGAAATCAAGTATGTAAAGAGCAGAGCTGGGGGAGAAGGGCAAAATAAGAGGACCAGAAATGTTGACTGTGTCACAATGCCATGGCCCTAACTGCTGAAGTCAGAGGGTGGGGGCCTCCAAGGGAGAAAACAGTGGATTTAGGACCAGAAAGACAAGATGGAGCATTAGAAAGATATTCCTGGCTGGAGCTGCAGTTTGCTCAAAGACGTGGTGATGGCTGGGTGCAGCGGCTCACACCTAGAATCCCAGTGCTTTGGGAGGCCAAGATGGGAGGATCACTTGAGGTCAGGAGTTTGAGACCACCCTGGGCCACATAGTGAGACACCATCTCTACAAAAAATATTTAAAAATTAGCTAGGCGTAGTGGTGCACACCTGTAGTCCCAGCTACTTAGAAGGCTGAGGCAGGAGGACTGCTTGAGCCCAGGAGTTTGAGGCTGCAGTGAGCCGTGATCATTCCATTTCGCTCCAGCTTGTGTGACAGAGCAGGACCCTGTCTCTAAAAATAATAATAAAAGAAAATTGGAGAGAGATCCATGATGGCTGATCACTAGCAGCTCAGGCTTGTAGCTCCCAGTGAAAGCGCATAGAACGAGAGGACGCCACACTTTCAGACGAATTTTCGTTGCTCACGGACCAGGAGATTCCCAGCGGGGGAGCCCCACGGGTCGCCAGCGCGACTCTTGTGGCCGGCGTGGTGGTTCTTGGTGCAGAATAAACAGGACTGGGTCCCCTTTTGACCGACGTTTGGAGCTCCGGGAAGGCAGAGTCGCCCATTCAGCTGATTGACGAAGGGATTCAGGAGGGAAGCCAACCAGAGACTCCCGGGCAGAAAAGCACCAAGAATCTTGACACCGCTGTTTCAGCTGGCGCAGTGGGTTGCTCAGATTCTGGCGCTGGGAATCAACAAGCTGGATGTCCACTCAGAGACCTAATTTGAAAGTCGGTAATTGCAAAGATGACAGGTGGATAAATTTACAATGATGGGAAGAAACCAGTGTAAAAAGGCTGAGAATACCCAAAATCAGAATGCCCCTCCCTCTACAGACGATCACAGTTCCTCATCAACAAGGGAACAAGGCCTGATGAAGAATGAGTGTGTTCCAATAACAGAATTAGGCTTCAGAAGGTGGATAATAAGAAACTTCTGTGAGTTAAAAGAACATGTTCTAGCCCAATGTAAAGCAACTAAGAACCTTGAAAAAAGGTTTGACAAAATCTTAACGAGAATAGACAATTTAGAGAGGAATATAAGTGAATTAATGGAACTGAGAATACAATACGAGAACTCCACAAAGTATGCACAGGTTTTAACAGTCGAACTGATGAAGCAGAAGAAAGGATATCAGAGGTCAAAGACCAACTTAATGAAATGAAAGGAGAGACAAGATTAGAGAAGAAAGTAAAAAGGAATGAGCAAAGTCTCCAAGAAATATGGGACTCTGTGAAAAGACCTAATTTATATTTGATAGGTGTACCTGAATGTCATGAAGAGAATGAATCCAAGCTGGAAAATATTCTTCAGGATATTACTCAGGAAAACTTTCCTAACCTAGTAAGGCAGGATGATACTCAACTCCAGGTAATACAGAGAACACCACAAAGATATTCCTCAAGTAGAGCAACCCCAAGATACATAATCGCTAGATTCACAGGGTTGAAATAAAGGAGAAAATTCTAAGGGCAGCTAGAGAGAAAGGTCAGGTCACCCATAAAGGGAAGCCTATCAGAGTCACAGCAGATCTCTCAGCAGAAACCCTACAAACTAGGAGAGAGTGGGGGTCAATATTCAATATCCTCAAAGAAAAGAATTTTCAACCCAGAATCTCATATGCAGCCAAACTAAGCTTTATAAATGAAGGAAAAATAAAACTTTCCATGAACAAGCAAGCACTCAGAGATTTCATCACCACCAGGCCTGCTTTACAAGAGCTTCTGAAAGAAGCACTACACACAGAAAGGAACAACCAGTATCGGTCATCTCAAAAACTTACCAAAAGGTAAAGAGTATCTCCATAATGAAGAATCTATATCAACTAATGGACAAAATAGCCAGCTAGCATTAAATGACAATATGAAACTCACAGATATCAATATTAAACCTATTTTTAAATGGATTAAATGCCCCAATCAAAGACACAGACATGCAAACTGAATAAAAAGTCAAAACACATCGGCACTCTGTATCCAGATCCATCTCATAAGCAAGGACACACAAAGACTCAAAACAAAAGGTTGGAGGAAGACTCACCAATCAAATGGAGAGAAAAAAAACAAAACAAAACAGGAGTTGCAACTTTCATCTCTGACAAAATAGACTTTAATAGTAACAAAGACTAAAAGAAACAAAGAAGGACATTACATAATGGTAAAAGGATCAATGCAACAACAGGAGTCAATGATCATAAATATACATGCACCCAATATGGGAGCACCCAGATACATAAGACAAGTTCTTAATGACTTATAAAGAGACTTGGACTCCCGCACAATAATAGCAGGAGACTCTGACACCACATTGTGAATATTCGACAGATCAACGAGATAGAAAATTAACAGGGACATCTATGATTAGAACTCAGACCTGGAACAAGTAAACTTAGTGAATATTTATAGAATTCTTCACCCCAGGTCCACAGAACATACATTTTGCTCAGTATCACATTACACCTATTTTCAAAGTGACCACATAATTGGAAGCAAATCACTCTTCAGCACTTGCATAGCATTTCACAGACTTAAATGAAATACTGGTTGGCTGTTTGTTATTTTATTTCCTTATTCCTTCCTGTCTCCACTGTTAAGCACAATTATTGGCATAAAAGAGGTTTTTAATACCTACTTTTAGATTGCATTCCAGCCTGGGCAATAGGCAAGACTCCTGTTCTCTCTCCCCCTTTTCTCTTTCTTTCTTTCATAAAAAAGAAAAGAAATAAATAAAAGAAAATTAGCTGAGTATGGTGTCACATGCTTGTAGTCTTAGCTATTCAGAAGACTGAGGTGGGAGAATCACTTGAGCCCAGCAGTTTGAGGCTATAGAATGCTGTGATCATAATGGTGCACTCTAGCCTCAGCAACAGAGTGAGACGCTGTCTCCAAAAAAAAAAAAAAGGCACAATGAGAACACACAGCATCTGAATGTGGAGTGGCACGATGCTGCTAGAATGGAAGGTGGGTGGAGTTTACCAGCCACAAGGAAAGGGAGTTGGAACGAGAGGCTGGAATCAAGTTAGGGAGTCTGGGCTTGATCCTGGGGTGTCTGAGAGTCAGTGAGGATTTCTGAGCACAAGAGGACATTGACCTGCAGCAGTGATAAGAAACATGAACGAGAGACTGGAGAGACACACGCCTAGGATTCCTGGAAGAGACTATTGGAAAAGACACTGGAGCTCTGAACCAGAGCATTCCTGGTAGGAGTGGGAGTAAGATCATGGGCTCCAGAGACATCCTGGAGACAGAGTTGGCTGAATTTACTACTGAGGAGGACTGGAGGAAGGAGAGGAAAGGAGCACTTGGGTGTTGCCGGGCACAGTGGCTCACGCCTGTAATCCCAGCACTTTGGGAGGATGAGGCGGGCAGATCACAAGGTCAGGAGTTTGAGACCAGCCTGGCCAACATGGTGAAACCCCGTCTCCACTAAAAATACAAAAATTAGCTGGGCATGGTGGCAGGCACCTGTAGTCCCAGCTACTCGGGAGGCTGAGGCAGGAGAATCGCTTGAACCCGGGAGGCAGAGGTTGTAGTGAGCTGAGATCACACCACTGCACTCCAGCCTGGGTGACGGAGGGAGACTCTGCCTCAAAAAAAAAAAAAAAAAAAAGCAATGGCATACATTAAAAAAAAAAAACTTGGGTGTAGTTGTTGAAGATATCGTGGCCCTACCTTTTGCAGACTGCCATATGCATGCCTCAACGCTGGGAGCTTCCCTGGGCTCCGTCTCCCTTTGCCTAATAGCTCTGGCTGCTTAGTCTCTGGGTCTTCCTTGTCTTAATGACTGAGCTGCTTCATTTCTGGCCCCAGCACAAGGTCACAGTGTTGAACTGTTCTCACTTAAGGAACACCCTTGTCCCTTCCAGCCAGGCTGCCATCTCCTTGATGAAAGACCCAGGGCATATGTTGGTTGCCCAGCAGGTGTATGCCTGTCAAAACACTAAACTGATTTGTGTGGCTGGACGGTCTTGACTGGTAACCTGACCTCCCTCCCTCCCTCCCCTGCAGAGACCTCACCTCTGAGGACCAGATCGTGCTGCTGAAGTCCAGTGCCATCGAGGTCATCATGTTGCGCTCCAATGAGTCCTTCACCACAGACGACATGTCCTGGACCTGCGGCAAACAAGACTACAAGTATCGCGTCAGTGATGTGACCAAAGGTATGCCTGGACTTCAGCTCTGCCCCTTCCAGCTCCCAGGCTCCGGCTCCACCCGTCCTGGGGTCTGGGCTCCAATCAGACACGTGGCAGGTGGCTGAAGGGAGAGAAGGGCGAGGGTCTGGCCCATCGGGGCTGGAGGTGGGTGGGTGGCTCCGCAGCTCTGCCCATAGTACCTGGCCATCGTGTCTCACAGCAGGATACAACCTGGAGCTGATTGAGCCCCTCCTCAAGTTCCAGGTAGGGCTGAAGAAGCTGAACTTGCATGAGGAGGAGCATGTCCTGCTCATGGCCATCTGCATCGTTTCCCCAGGTATGGGGCCCTGCAGGGAGGAGCTCGGGGACCTGGGGAGTGGGGAGTGTGAGGGGCTGCTGAGGGCCGGCTGGGCAACCTGAAGGGAGAAGTAGCAAAAAGAGAGGCAGAGAGGAAAGGGCCTATTGTGCTGGCTTCCAGCACCCCTGTGGTGTGTGGACATTGAGGAGCCCCTTGCTGCCCTTGGCTTTGCCTTACAGAGTTTGCAGGTAGGATTCTGAGGAACTAGGGGCGATTCACAGGGGATTCTGAGGAGCTAGATAAGTCGGGTTCCTGCAGGTTCCCGATGCTCAGGCCCTACTCTTGTGTGAACCGGGCTCAACACTGCTGTCATTTGAGGTTTCTCAGGGGCAGGGTACAAAACCCTGGAGTCTGATAGATGATTCTGCCTGGACAGTTGACCTGATTGATTCTGGAGGCAGTGTGCTGTGATCCTTGGCCTCTTCTGCTTATTAGGGGTGAGAAGGGGGAGAAAAGGCTCAAGAGGAAGTTACCGTAACCTTGGGGACGTCATGTCGGTCCCCAAAGAGGTCCAAAGAGGGGCGGCCCTGCCTCAGCCTGTGCTGTGCTCAGGGGACAAGCTAGTGGCCTCTGGCCAGGGATGCTTTCCTGGACTGGAGGCTCAAGAATGGAGGTGGACCCCATACCCCTGCCCAGCAGCGTTCACTCACTCATTCATTCATCCACCTAGCAACAGTTTACTGAGCACCCATCAGGTACCAGGCTCTGTGCTGGGTACTGGGTGCTGGGATTCAGCAGCAAACAGGACACAGGCCCCTCTCCCATGAAGCTTAGGAGGAAACATTAAAGAAATGCTATCTAACAACTAATTCCTAACATGGCATGGGTTTTAAAAATCAAGGAAATGATATCACAGAGGGGTAGACTAGAAGGAGGGAAGCCGATGTGGTCTGGGCCATGGAGGCAGTGTGACCAGGAATGGCCTTTTGGAGGAAGACCTTTTAAGCTGTTACCTGAAGGATCAGTAGGAGTCTGGCAAAGATAGCAGAGCACAGTTCCAAGCAAAGGGAACACAGATGTGAAGGCTGGTGGCCAGAGAGCAGGGCACATCGGGAAGCTGAGGAGTGGACGGAGCATGGACAGGGAGCAAGGCCAGGCAGGGCCAGGGCCAGGGCCAGGTGGGCCCATGGAAGGACCTGGGACTAGATCCTAAAGGCAAGGAGAAGTCTCTGAAGGGCTTTGGGGCCGAGCGGTGGTATCACCGGTCAGCGGCCACAGAGGGGCGGCCTAGAGGGAGCTGCCATTGCGTGTCTGTGTGGGTGGGAGGTGGCGGGACTGAGCAGTGAGGGGCCCACCTCAGACCTGCTGTGCCTTCTCCTCCACCTCGTGCCCACAGATCGTCCCGGGGTGCAGGACGCCGCGCTGATTGAGGCCATCCAGGACCGCCTGTCCAACACGCTACAGACCTACATCCGCTGCCGCCACCCGCCCCCAGGCAGCCACCTGCTCTATGCCAAGATGATCCAGAAGCTGGCCGACCTGCGCAGCCTCAACGAGGAACACTCCAAGCAGTACCGCTGCCTCTCCTTCCAGCCCGAGTGCAGCATGAAGCTCACGCCCCTTGTGCTGGAGGTGTTCGGCAGTGAGATCTCCTGACTAGGGCAGCCGGCGGTGGTGCCCGGGTGGGGCCGCTCCTCCAGGGCCACATGCTGGGCCCGGGACTGGCAACTACTCAGCAGCCCTCCTCACCCCCGTCTGGGGTTCAGCCCCACCTCGGGCACTGCCCCTGTCCACCCGGCCCATTCTCTTTCCTGTCCAACTCAACCCCTTTCCTGCAGGCCGTTCCCTGTTCCCTGGAGACCTCAGCCATGAGCAGTTGTTGTGTATTTGACAAAGAAGCTCAAGTGGGGGCAGAGGGCAGAGGCTGGAGGCAGGGCCTTGCCCAGAGATGCCCTCACCCCTGCATAAGTGGCTGCTGACTTGTGTCAAGGGAACAGGCAGGAGAAATGCATCCATTCCTCAGGGACAGAAACACCCACACCTTCCCCCACTCCAGGCCCCCACGTCCAGAGCCTGGTGGGATCTCCCTCTCCTGCCTACTCATGATAACTAATCCACCCACAGCTCCCACCCACCCTGACCTTCAGTGCCCACTGTCGTCCCACCCTGACCTTCGGTGCCCACTGTCGTCCACTGCCCTGGTTGTACTCTCACGGGCAGTAGCTGTGGTGAGATGGGCCTTCTTCCCATTACTGGAGCCCCAGGCACAAACCCACCTGCTGAGAGACCCAAGGAGGAAAAACAGACAAAAGCAGCCTCACAGAAGAATAGTGATGGTGGCCACCACTGTTCCTGTCACTAAGCCACATTTCCTCGGCCTGGATCTAAGGGCTTGGTTGAGGTGGAAGTCCTCCTTCCACGGACCCATGTAGCAGGACTGAATTGTCCCTGGCTTGCAGAAAGCACCCGCCATCCTCGTCCTCCCCTGGCCAGTGCCTTACCTCCCACCAGGAGAGCCAGCACTCCACTCCTCCTTGGCTGTTCTCCCCACCCCCTCCCCACTCCCAGTCTGGAGAAGCAGTGAGCCACATCTTCTCCACCTGGCAGAAGGGAAGAAGGAGAAGAGCTATCAGACCCCAGTGGGTGAATCATGCTCTCCATGCTGCCTGGATGTGTTCCAAGGCTGCTGTCAGCCCACAGGACCAGGAGCTAGTGCTCCCGCACCCCAGGCTATGGGAACAGAGAGCGGGGCAGCCTCTGGCAGCTAGTCAGAGACAGCGTTTGGGGGTTCCGTGATGTAGGGCAGGGTCCCTTCCTATTCTCACTCCACCACCCAAAAGTCAAAAGAGGGCTGTGAGGTGGGGGCGCCATGATTCAACCTCCAGTGCATGCCCTCCTCTGCAGCAGCCCGGCCCAGGGGGAGGGGCCCTCAGGAGAGTGAGCTTCGGGACCAGTAGAGAAGGACATGCTTTCAGGTGGATCATAGTGGCTTCTTCAGATCAGTGCTTGAGTTTGGGGAACATGGCTGCATTTGCTGTGTCACCAGGAATGTAAAAGTCAGTGGGAACGTGATCGCCCAACTCCTGGAAGCCGCGTCCTTCTACCTGCATCCGTGGTTCCCTAAAAACTCGGGGAGGAATTAAGCTTTGCAGCGCCAGAGCCTCGGTGTCCACCCGGCCCTGTGTCTCTCAGAAATCTTCAGGTGGGAAAACATCGGAAAGCCACGTTCCTTATTGCGGAAGAGCATGTATATCGCCTAATCTTAAATTTGTTAGATATGAGTTGCTTTCAGAATCAGACTCCATTTGTTCTATACTCTAATATACAGGGGAGCAGGTAGCACTGATTTGGAAATGTTCATGGGGGGAGAACTTACATTGTGAAACTCTGTACACTAATTAATATTGCTGTTGTTGTTATTTTACAAAGAGAAACCCTTGTTTGATTTTAGCTATAGAGCACATTAGGCCAGCTGGCTCTTCAGTGGGAGAAAACACTTGAAAGTTGCAAACCACTCAATCTCCTCCTTAAGAAAAACTGACAGAGGAGAGCATGACTCACCTGCGCGTCCGTAACCAGTTAGAAGTGGACCAAGACGGAACCAGACTGGACTCATGGTCTGGTGTCCTTTTCACTGCACCACGTTTGAGCCCAGACCCCCGTTCCCATTCCCCAAAAGACCGACCCAGTCCCTGCGGGAAGCCCTGGATTTCAGACAGAGCAAGTCTGGGTCTGGGACCCCTTCCTTCCTTCCTTCCCTGACTTGTAACTCCACCAACCCATCGATAGAAGGAAGGAGACTCATCTCTGTGTCAGTGTGAATCAGACCCCGCCCCCCCACAGCGGAGCCCTGGCCCTCCGCCTCAGCCTCGTGTCACGCTGTTGCCTTATCTTTAACGTGCATTCGTCTTTGGAATTGCCACCTTCCCGCTCTCCCTCTGGCCCTGCCTTCTCCAGGGGACTTCTGGGAATATCAGTTACCCAGCCCTGGGGCCCACAACCTAGGCCACTCCCCACAGGAAGTCTAGGAGCTGGGAGGAAAAGAAAAGAGGGAAAAACGAGTTTTCCTGGGGCTGAACTGGGAGGAAAGTCACCATCGATTCTATTTTAGAATGAGAGTGTGAAAACAGACATGTAGAAACGTGAAGCTTTTAGGGCATATCGTGATAACTGAAGGAGAGTGTGCACCGACATGCAGGATTTCCTACGAGATTCCCAGAGACAGGAAAATCCTCCGCTGGCTGACGAAGCGTACAGGCGCGTCCGGGTGAGGCCGACAGACAAGGCAGGAACGTGCGGCAGATTTGGTGACAGCTAGAGATAAGGCAGCGAAAGGAGGATGTAGAGAGTCTGTGAATAATTTCCAGAGAGAACAAAAGTTTGCCAGAACTTTGTCAGGTCAACTAATGCAGAAAGCTTTGCTTATGGTAATAAAATTGTAGCACACTGTTGCAGATACTGCTGTAATAAATGCTTTGTGCAAACCAATCTGACTCATCCTTACAAGAATCCCACGGGAGATGAACCATTATTACCTCCCATTTGACAGAGGGAATTAACTTGCCAAAGCCACACTGGCAAGAGATGGGACTTGAAGCTTCCGCGGCGTCAGAAACCGCAAATTCACGACTACATTGTCCTGCTTCCTGCTGAGCTGGGGGACCCGACAGGGGACTGATAGTCTTGCTAGCTCTCTCCTAGGGAGGAGATCAAAGAGGTTCCCATCCTAAAGCAATCCCTGGACCAGGAAAATTAGGGGTGCTGGATCAAACTGTGCTCTACTCCCAGGAAGCGTGCAGTCAGTATGTGACAGCTATGTGAGAACCTCAAAAAGAAAACCAAGCAGCTATTGGCAAAAATGTGTCTGCTATTAGGGACGGTGGCTGTGCCAGTGACCTGGAGGATACAAATGACTGCTGTGCAGAAGCAGGACTCCTGCTGGCCAGGCGCCGTGGCTCACACCTGTAATCCCAGCACTTTGGGAGGCCAAGGCAGGCGGATCACAAGATCAAGAGATTGAGACCATCCTGGCCAACATTGTGAAACCCCATCTCTACCAAAAAAAAAAAAAAAAAAATTAGCTGGGCACGGTGGCACGAGCCTGTAGTCCCAGCTACTTGGGAGGCTGAGTCAGGAGAATTGCTTGAACCCAGGATGTAGAGTTTGCAGTGAGCTGAGATCGCGCCACTCCACTCCACACAGCCTGAGTGACAGTGTGAGACTCCATCAAAAAGAAAGAAAGAAATGAGAAAGAAGAAAGAGAGAGAGAGAAAGAAAGAAAGAGAAAAAGAAAGAAAGAGGACTCCTAAGGAGCCAATGCACTTGCTCTGCTTTCCAAAGAAGTGGGGTTTATGATGATGGGTAGCATTGCTGGGCACAGGAAACAAGAATAACCAAGGACACAGCACTGGGATCTGAAAATGAGGAAACCGTGCCAACTGATGTGTTTATTTAGGATCAATCTGAAAATGAGGAAACCATGCCAACTGATGTATTTATTTATGATCAATCTGAAAATGAGGAAACCGTGCCAACTGATGTATTTATTTAGGATCAGTTGACCTGGGGGTGAGATTCACTCAAAGTTTCCAGAAACATCTGAAAATATTTCAGACCAAAGGCTGAAATGGGTTGCAGTGAAATGAGATGGACACAGGGGAGCTGGCATTAGAACTCCAGGGATATTTTGTGAAACACGAAGGGACTCAGAGAAAGGAAATCAACAGCTGCACAAATGGGCATGTCTCTGGCAAGGGAAATGTGGAGAATGGAGTTCTGACACACTGTTAGGAGGAGCTGATGCAGCGTTTTTATAGCTGACCAAGCAGAACACAGACTTTCCAAGGCTGTGTTATAATAAACTTTTCCAGGTAAACCAAGCGGGATATACCCCAGGAATACTGCACAACTAGGACCCAGTGATTTTAGGCTTTCGCATTCCAAGCTTTGGTTCTACACCTGCACTGTTCAATCAGGTAGCCACTAGCTGTGTGTGACTGTTCACATGAAATAAAGGTAAACCTGTAGCTTCAAACTGTACAAGCTGCACTTTCAGTCTTTGATAAACTCAGGGTTACCATAACGGACAGTGCAGATACAGAACATTTTCTTTCTTTCTTTCTTTTTTTGACACGGAGTCTTGCTGTGTCACCCAGGCTGGAATGCAGTGGCATGATCTCAGCTCACTGCAGCCTCTGCCTCCCAGGTTCAAACCATTCTCCTGCCTCAGCCTCTGGAGTGTATGTGATTACAGGCACCTGCCACCACGCATGGCTGATTTTGTATTTTTAGTAGAGACAGGGTTTCCCCATATTGTCCATGCTGGTCTCGAACTCCTGACTTTAAGTGATCTGCCTGCCTCAGCCTTCCAAAGTGCTGGGATTAAAGGCATAACATTTTCATCATCACAGAAGAGTCTATGGGGCAGCACTGGTCTACACAGTGCATTCTTATCTGGTACTAACTGTGAATGGCTCCATGAGGATGCTGGGCCATTATACTTCTGTTGACCTTTTGGGCAGGATGGCCACTACCCTGAACATCTTCCCCTTCCAAGGGGTTGCGCTACACCTCGGGTAGTGTGAATGAGTCTGCTCCTTAAAAGAGACATAAAGCAGCAAAAACACTGCACAGGCCGTGGAGCTGACAGGCTCAAAGCATCATGTGGTATAAATAGGTCCCTGGTGTGCTAGGAAGTATTGATTCCTTCAGTCCTGGAGCAAGCAAACAGGGCCTGCTGGGAGTGGCCAGAGCCCTTCAGTTTCCCCAGCTTCTACCAGACTCCTCCCAGGCTGCCTGTGCAGTGTGGGTCGGCTGGTCTGCCTGCCCCATGGCCCCTGCAGACAGCAAGAAGGATGGATGTTATCTGACACCTCCAGCGTGGCCAAGGAGCTGGCTCAGGCCGCTGACATCCTATAGGCAACTAGTCCTCATTGTGCGCAGGGAGCCCGTGAGGCTGACGGCGAGTCTGTGCTCCTCGAGACCCAGAAGCACAGCAGGGTGTGCAGGCTGTGGCTGGCAGGGGGAATCTGAGAGCTCGCTGCTCCAGACAGCTGCTCCGAATCTCTGTACGCACATGTCATAGGTGACATACAGGATGCTGTTGTAAGTTGGGTTCCAGGGACGTAGACTCTGAAATGCAGGTTGAAGTGCAGGGCGTCTGTTGGGGAGCAGTCTCGGGATTCTCAGCCCTGGTGGATGGAAAAGAAGTAGAATCAGCAGTGGGAGAAGTTGGCTGCAATGCAGTCTCAACGAAAGTCTCCATCAACCCGTGTGGGGCTCTCTGAAGCTGAGATGGCCCTTTGGCTTGCCCCAAGATGAAGCCAGGGAGACACTTGTATATTTCTGCATCAGGCAGTCATTGGATGCAGGCTGTACCTCAGCTAGGCGGCTCCTTTTAACCTGGGGCCCAGAGGACGTGTCCACAGGGGGTGTTTTCTTCACATTTTGTACAACCTGGTGAGAGCTTCTGGAGTGAGCTGCTCTGGCTTAGGGAGACGCTGGAAGAGTTCCAGGCCCTTCCCTGTGGCTCTATCCAAAGAGAGTTGTCTTCCACGAGGGTATTCCCAGCCTCCCCTCTGCTATGGATTAGCCAGGTTTTTCCTAAGTCATCTTGAGCTTCACCACTAGGTGGTGCTACTGCCCTACGGGGAGAGGTTTGAGCTGCTTGCCTGGCCTCCCCGCCCCCAAGCCCCCAAATACCCGCCATCCCCCTTGCACCCTTTCTCTAAGTCCATGATGTGACTGAGAGTCAGCAAGACTCTGAGTCTCTGCTACTGAGGGCACCTGGTGGCGCTTACCTCCTCATGCGGGTGGCATGGGGTTAGGGACCAGCTCTGGCTTCTCAGGCCACCTCTCAGGCAGCAGGGACTGTCTGACACTTTGACACGTCAGCCAAGGGCCTCCCAGGGTCGAGATCTTGTGCCTGGGGCCTGTGAGCACTGTCCGTGCTGAGGGCGAGCAAGGCTGCAGGTTCCTTGCGAGGTCCAGCCAAGCTGTGCAGTCCTTCCAACGTGTCTAAATGGACGAGACAGTCACTACCTCCAAGAAAGACCCAGTGCGGTGGGGAAAGAGCCCAAAGGACAGACGAGCTCGAGGCCCAGAGGGGAAAGCTGCAAAGTGTTAAGAAGTCACAGTCACAGTTAACACGTGAACGGCCGCCTGGCTCTGCCGTTTGCTACTTGTATGACCTTGGGCAAGTTATGTCATGTTTTTGAGCCTCAGTTTCTTCATCCACAAAATGGCAACAATCATAGTACCTGCCTCATAGATTTGCGACTGTGACCGAATCCGTGTAAAGTGTTTATAACAGCACCTGGCACACAGTTATCAAGCATCAGTACCACTACCGGGCTGCTGAGAGGGCCGAATAACTTTTGTGGAAGGGGGTGACATTGCTCCACGTTCCGACCACCCATCCCTGATGGGCCTTCTAGATTCACTCCACGCTGGGTGTTCTGGATCTCAGCCTCCGGTGCTAGGGACTCCTGCTCCCTGACAGCCACCGGAGCGGAGAGGCGTCATTGTGCCACCTGGCCACCAGGGGGCAGGTGTGGCACTTCATAAACCAATTGGCCCCAACTGAAGAAAAGTAAGGGCCAGAGGTGGGAAGGTAAGAATATGAATCTGAAATCCATGGAACTCTAGTGACTACTGCCCCCAACTTCTTTCAGTCACGGTCTTTCTTTGTCACTGTCACCCCTTCAACAATCACCAACACGTCCACTACATGCGTATTTACTGACTGTAATTAATGTCAGTGCTCAGAGAAAAGGGAATCAAAACAAGTTTCAAGAATCAGGTTTGATGGATTCATTTGTCCCATATGTTGACACCAGGCTTCTCTGATGAGAGGTAAATCCCACCCCGATCTCTCCGTGTCATTTGTCTCTGTTCCCGGCATCGAAACAGCCCAGCGCCGCATCCGGCTGGGTGCAGTTTTCCCAGTGCTCACCTCTGTGGCCTGCCTTTAGACCAGAGTTTCTCACACATTTTGGTCCTGACATCCCTTTACTTTCTTAAAAATAAGGACCCCAAAGAGCTTTTGTGTGTGTGGGTTAGATCTATCAATAGGTACTAAGTGTGTACTAATTAGAAATTAAAACAGAAAATTTTAAAGTGTATTTACTCTTTAAATGCGGCAATAATTAATCTATTAAAAGTTAAGATAGGCTGGGTGGGGTGGCTCATGCCTGTAATCCTAGCACTTTGGGAGGCCAACGTGGGCAGATCACCTGAGGTCGGGAGTTCAAGACCAACCAGCCTGACTAACATGGAGAAACCCCGTCTCTACAAAAATACAAAATTAGCCAGGCGTGGTGGCGCATGCTTATAATCCCAGCTACTTGGGAGGCTGAGGCAGGAGAATCGCTTGAATCCAAGAGGCAGAGGCTATAGTGAGCTGAGACTGTGCCACGGCACTCCAACCTGGGTGACAGAGGGAAACTCTGTCTCAAAAAAAAGTTGAGATAAATAACACAAGTTTTCTT